TGGGGGTGGCCATCTCCCCTCCCTCCCTCCCCTCCCTCCCCCCCCCCTCCCTCCCCCCCTCCCTCTGGGAATGGCTATTGTGTGGGTGTGGTGTGGTGCGGGATGTGTGGGTGGTCGAAGGGGTGGGATGGGGGACTCATGGGGTGCTATGTCTTGCCTCTGCCCGCTTACTCCTCCTGGTCGTGGTGGTGGTGGTGGTGGTGGTGGTGGTGGTCGTCCTCCTCATCCTCCTCATCCTCCTCATCCTCCTCATCCTCCTCATCCTCCTCATCCTCCTGGTCGTCATCATGTCATACCAATCCGCTAACGCGCCTTGCTGGTTGATTGGTCGACGCCTCGCCATCATCTCATGTCGTGGTATGGTGGTCGTCACCACAGCCGCAAGCGTGACAAGAGCAAGCCCGTCCCGGAGCCCCGATGTACGTCTACCTTCCTTCTCCCTCCTTCTCCCTCCTCCCTCCTCGCCTCGCTCTCCTCACCCCCTCTCCTCCTTCCATCGCAGACGGCATGACCAAGGACGAGTTCCTTGCTCGCATCGGCCGCGAGTGCGACCAGTATGCCGATGCCTTTGAGTCGTGGGACGAGCTGTTCTCCCTCCGCGGCCTCGACATGAAGAAGCGCAACATTCCCGTTCGTCAGCGCCGTTGGATCCTGCGCAAGACAGAGATGTACCGCCAGCAGCACGAGCCATCCGACGACTGACGCCTATGGCACATAAACCCTCTCCGTGCGCTCGTGTTGTGTGTTTTTACTCGTCGCCCTCCTCGTCATCCCCAGACGACACGTCTTCCCCAACCAAATCTTGTGATGCCGCCAGGTACGACGCCGGCGGCGGCGTCGGCATGGCAATCGGCGAGCCAGCCACCATCAGACCGCCCTCGTCTGGCGAGCTCGAGTCGATCGCAAGTGCAGACGAGCCGGCCGACGGCGTCGGCGAGCCCAGCCCGTACAGCGAGCTCAGCATCCCGTTGAGCTCGTTGACTGTCCCAGGCCCAAACACCTGGTTGGCATCGTACGACGCCTCGAGCTCCGCCCGAGCAGCTTCCACTGCCGCCCGAGTCGCGGCTGCCTTGAGCACCGGATTCACGCCCGACGATGCGGACGACGGCGGAGGCGGCGCCTTGCCGCGCTTTCTTTCCGCCTTTCCATCGCCCTCGGCGAGTGTCGCTTCGGCCGCTGCCGCACTGTACCCGTACAAATCGTCGAGCAGCTCGTCCATCGCCACACCGTCCGGATTGTCCATGTGCGGTCCGACAATCTTGCCAAACACGTCTGCCGCCATTGCCCGCGCCCACCTTCGGTCGCCGCAATGTCGATGTTGGCAGCAATGAACCCAACCCATGCGTCGCGCTCCTCGGCCGTCGGCGCCTGAAAGTAGTACGTCCGGTCGCCCGCCAGCTCGTCGTGCTTGCCCGATACGTGGACCGCAAACACGTGGTCGCGCCCCACCACGCCCTTGGTCGCCGCAAACACATCAAACGACTTGAGGCCCGTCGCCCACATCGTCGTTTGCCCATTGGCCCCGGTCTTGGCAAACGCGTCCTTGCGCACCCCGTCCGGCTGTCTGCGCTCGCCACATAGCTCCCGGGCGTGAGCGAGAACGTCCCGCGCGCTGCCCGGATGCCCTGCGCCACCTCGCCCTCGCTCCTAAAGTACGCAAACTTGGTCCCGGTCATCACCAGGTGCCGCTTCTGCCACTTGGCCCCGCCGATCAGCCGCTTGGCCTTGCTCATCTTCACCACATTGCCTGTGTGCGCAATCGGCGCCCGCGGTAGCTTGGCCCGCCGCTCCGCCAGCGCCCCCAGCGACGGCCACTCGAGCACAAACGGGATCGAGAGGAGCGAGCCCCACTTTGTCAGAATGACGATCTTGTCGCCCTCGAGTGTCACCGACGCGCCAGACTCAAAGACCGCAAACGGGCCCAAGCTCTCAGTCCCGTCGGTGCCATCGCCCAAAGCCATCGCCGATGGGTCTCCCGTCGCCACTTTGCAATCGTTGCCTCGATTCGGAAAATAGGCCTTGTACCCGTTCCGCTCGCATGTGCGAGTTGCCGCATCTGCTGCCACCTTGGCTTGCTTGGCCATGCGCTGCTTGAACTCGGCATGTCGGTCGCCCGTGTCCATCCCGTCCGCTTTCCCTGCTAGGTATGTCTTCCCTGTCGTCCCTGTTGTCCTTCAATCCCGCTCGCTCTCTTCTCGCCTGCTCCCTTCCTCAGACACCTCTTTGCTTCTCTTCGCCTTGCTCCTTCCTTGCGCCTTGCCGAGTCCTCTTCCCCCGCACCTCTTTCGAAAGATGCTCGTGCGGCTGTCTAAAAGGACGCAAAAAAAAATGTCGCCGCTTCAGGAAACGAGCAGCTGTGTGTACACGTGGGGATGAACGCCTAAGCTTGACCTTTGTTACTTCTGATCGCTTGGCTTGGCTTGCAGATGTGCACTTGGAGACGAGTGTGTGTCACTTGACAGTCGTAACGCCCTCTCTTTTTTTTTACAGCGAGTGTTCGACTATCACGTGCTTGCCACGCCCTCCTCCAATCGCATCCCTTTTTTAACCCTTCCCCCCCCTCCCGCACATGCGACAACCTCGCCGGCCCCCTCTCGGCCCCTTACCGTTTACCGCCCTTGTGCAGCACGCCGCCGTGCAAGTAGCCGTTGCACTCGCTGCTCTGCCGCGTGTCGGATCTCCGCCGAGCCCATACCGCTCTGGCTTGGGCTGCCGCTCCACCTCCCTGGTCCGCTGAGGATACCACTTGCACTTGCGCTCGCACTTGCGCTCGTCGTCCCGCTCTCGCCGCTACCGTGACTCCTGCGGCTACGACCGCGACCGCGACCGCGACCGCGATTGCGGCCACGACGACGACCACGTCGGCGGGGCGGCGGCTTGAGCTCGCCAGAGACCAGGATCGGCACCGTCCCGCGCTGTGGCTGGGGCTGTTGCGGCGGCTTCTCTTGCGACGGCGGTCGCGGCTTCATCTGCGATGGCTTCATCGGCCGCCGCACCTGCGACCACAATCGTGGCTTCGCCTTGGCGGAAGACCTCGTCTGGCCGGGCCTCCGTCTCTGCCGCGACCTCCACCGCCGCGCTGCCACAACCTGCTGCTCGTACGCCAGCCGCCTCTGCTCCGCCATCTTGGCTACGGCCTCGGCCATGCTAAGCTGCTCACTCTCGCCGACAAAGTTGGCATCGAGCTCGATCCGCGTCACAGCCATCCCGCGCCGCTGCTCAGCCCGCGCCACAGCCTGTTCGCCCAGTCGTTCCAGCCCGCTCACGCCCTCTGCCAATGCACGGACTCGCTGCAGTCGCGACGCGTACACCTGTCCGCCGCCGACCCACACCTGTGATCGCAGCTGTGCATCTGCTGGCGCCGTGGCCTCAACTGCCACGTCGGCCGCTGCATCCACAGGTACAAGTTCTGCGCTCGACTCGCCCGACATTCGAACTGCCACTCGTGCCAGCTCGCCTGTCCGCCGCTGCCACCGCTGCCACCGCTGCCATCGCCGCACGTCCGGCCTCTCGGCAGGCGGACTCCCCGGTGGTGGCTGCGGATGCACTCGACACGGAAACAGGACGCCGTCTCCGCTCTCGTCTCCGCTCCCAGTCTTGATCTCGCTCCACGATGACGCCGTTGCCGCTCTCGAAGCCGACGTCAACTGTCTTTCGGCCGGCGGCGGCGACTTGGCTGCCACATTCACCTCGTCTAGCGTCAGCTCCTTGATCCGGGTCAAGAACACGCCCTGCAGCCGCGACACACGCCTCGCCTGCTCAGCCGACTTGGGCGATATGAAACCGCTCTGCGCCATTCGTTCCGACTTGGGCGATATGAAACCGCTCTGCGCCATTCGTTCCTGCCGGACCTGAAGCCAATGCTGGACCGCCGCCGCCGCCGCCGATGCGGTCTGGACTGCTGCTGCTGCTGCTGCTGCTGCTGCTGCTGCTGCTGCTGCTGCGACCGCTGTGGCTGCTCCTGCTGCTCTTGCTGCTGCTGCTGCTGCTGCTGCTGCTGCTGCTGCTGCTGCACCCCCCGCGGCTGCGGTTGCGGCGGCAACAAAACCCGTTCCTTCTCCACCTTTGTCAGCCCGCCTTCACCAGACATTGCTTGCCCCCGATCGCCTTGGTCTTGCACTCTAGGCTGCGCCTCCACTTCGCTGCCGACTCTCGTCCGCGACACCGACCGGGACAACGACCGCGACACCGACACGTCCGCATCCACCTTTTCTCCACGCCCTAGCCTGCTCCGCCTCGGCCGCCGCATCAACTCGCTCTCCGTCAACAGTCCACTTCCGCTTCCGCTTCCGCTTCCAAAGCTGACAGATCGGCCACTTCGCGTCGCCGCCCGCGCTCGCCGCACTGCAGGAGTCAGCAGCCCGCTACCTGACCCGGGCCGGAAAGAGATCGACCCACGCCGCCGCCGCTCGGCAATCGACCTCGGCTTGGGCACAGCCAGCCCGCCGCGCCGCCGTGGCTTGCGACTCGCGCTCGGCGACCCGCTTGACCACCCGCCGCCTACACTGCTCCTCTCAGGCTCGTCCGGAACTGGCGATGCCGCCGGCGTCCTGACCCGCGGCAGCGGCGCCGCCGCCCACGCACGCACAAGGTCGTCCTTGGACGAGTGCTGGAACAGAACCTCGTCGGCACCAACCGGCTTCTGGCCGCCCGACACACGCCGCGACGTCCGCGCCACAAGCTGCGGGCCCGGGCTTGCGCCCGTCGCTTTGCGCTGTCTCTTCTTCCGCCGCTGGAGCTTATTCGCCTTGGAGACGAGCTTGCGGAGCGATCGCGACCGCGGCGTCGCCCGCCGCCCTGCCATCTGCTGCGTCACCAACTGCTTTGGCGAGAGGCCGAGCAGGTACCGCACCTTGGCCCGCACTTCGGCCTCCTGGTCCACGCTTGCTTTGTCGGCCGCATACAGCCCGAGCGCAGACTGCGATCGGCCCATCCGCGCAAATGGCAGCAGCTTGGTCATCCTCACCCACAAACCGCGCAGACGGATCTTGCGGCCACGCCCGAATGTCCGACAAGTCGTCCAGCCCGGCTGACGACGATGACGACCGCCCGCCAAACGCCCACCGCATGCCCACCGCATGATTGTCGAGCTGGAGCTGGAGCTGGAGCTGGAGCTGGAGCTGGAGCTGGAGCTGGAGCCGATGTTCCACTCGAGTACAATCCGCTCGAGTACGACCCGTCTCGCGCCGAGACCAGCGGTGAGAGGACCGGCATATCTTCAGAGCCGAAAAACTCCGTCGGCATCCGCGATCGGAACCACGTCGACTGCGACAAACTTGCCTCGTTCGTCGGCTGCCTTTGTGAGTCGCCCGTGCTCAAGTCCGCGCTTGACGCCCGCCGGAGTGCCGCCCGCTGGAACACCTCCAGCGCCTCGCTCCACTCGTTCGTCTCAAACTGACCGAGCCCTGCATCTGCCGCAAACTCACCAAGGTCCTCCATAACCCGCATAAACTCATCGGTCACTTCGCCAGCCAGCAGCGCCTCGAGCTCCAGAGCCGCCGCAGCTTCCGGATCACCCTCGGTCCTCGCCCGGAGAATGTCAAACCGGGCCGCACTCGACGCTTGTCGCCGCCGTATGGTCTGCTGCCGCGTAAGCAGCTCCATCGATCGCTCCCATGCATTCATCACTTCAGGGTCAACGTCCAACTGCCGGCTTGCTCGCAGTGGCGCGCTCTCGCCCGCAAGAATCGCACTCAGGATCTTGTCGTCTACAAGCAGCGCGAGCTGCCGCAGCCGCGCCGCCACAACATCAACCATCAGCCCATCTGCCGCAGGCATGTCCAGCAGCGTGTAGCCCGAAAACTGGCCCACAGGCGTGAGCGCATACAGCCGCCCAGACATCGTTGACATCGCCCCGCCGCAGTCGTCCACATCCGACCGCACTGGCGAGTCCAGAATCCCGCGCCGTCCTGCCGTCCGCAGCGCCATAGGCCGCCACTCACTCTCGACCTCGCTGCTACTGGCATCCACATCAGCTGGGGTAGCCGCGACTGCGACCGCCGCAGCCGCTGCTCGGTGCTGCGCCACAACTCGCGCAAGCGCAAGCAGTCGCGCCCGCCGCGTCGCATACACATTGTTCATCACCGCCAGCGCAGTCATTGTCAGCTCGGACATGACCTTCGGCTGGTAGATCTTGAGCGCCACATCGTCCGCATCCTCCACAATATCCAACCCATCAGCCGCCGCAAGCTGCGCCATCCGCCGCTCCTCTGCCACGCTGCGCCGGAACGGGAGCGTGCAGAAGAGCGAAGAGTGAATCGAGTACAGTGCGTCGTTCATGGCAAACACCATGTCACCAAACCGGTTGACTATCGTCACAGCGCCCACGCTTGCCCCGACCTTCAGCGAAGCCCGGTGCCGACCGCTCAGCGAGCACACACGGAGGATCCCGTCCTCGCACGACGTCACCACCATGTTCAGCTCGGGCGCCACAGCCATACCAGTCACCCCGCCGCTGTGCATCAGCGTCCGCACAAGCCCGGTCTCCGCATCAACCTCGACATCGTCTGACGAAGAGTCCGACTCAACAAGGCCGCTTGCTTCTTCCTTCCCGTGCTCCGTGCTCTCTTCAGCTGTCATACTCGGCAGCAATGTCGTGCTCTTGCTCGGAACAAGCTGGAAGGCAGCAAGCGAGTTTTGCCGCTTCAGCGAGGCAAACGAGGCAGACCGCAGCGCCGATAACTTGCGCTCGCCAGCCATCCGCGTCGTAGACAGCGCAAACATCGACTTGGACATTTTGACCGTCTGGCCCACCACAGAGTACACCTCAAACGTGCCATCCGAGTGGCCGGCGTAGAGAAACGGGTCAAGGCACCGCACAAAGGTGAGCGTCGACGCCACCCTGATCTCGTGCAGGATCTGGAAAGCCCGCGCTGATGCCTGCACGTTGGAAATGCCGCCAAATGTGTCCGCTACCGAGCTGAGTCGACGCCCGCTCTTGCCCACCCGCGCCGGCGCCGACCGCGTCGTCGGCCACGACCAGATCCGGATCCGGCCCTCCTCGCCGCCGCACGCGTACGCTGCAAGCTTACACGCGCTTGCATCAAAATCGACCGCCACCACAGGATTTTTGTCTGCCCGGAACTTTTGGTACAGCCGCGAGTCGTCCGAGACCGACCAGAACTGGATGAGGCCATCAGCCGAGCCGCCAAAGGCGAGCTCAAAGTACACTCCAAACGGAAGCTGGTCCTCGCTCTTCATCGCCGGCGGCGGCGTCGTGCCCGAGCAGAGCCCGAGGCAGAGCGTCGCCGCCCGCGACACCGCCGGCCACCGCGCCGTCCGCCGCGCCGGGTTAAACCCGGCATCGTAAAGCCAGACTTCGTGCGACGAGAGGAGAACCACCACGCTCGAGTGAAGCCGTGAGTACACATACGCTAGCGGGTGGACGGTCGACGGCGGTGGGAGGACCGTCACCAGTGGCCGCCCATCAAAAGTCCAGATCCGGATCGAGCCGTCGGCAGGTGCAAAGGCCAACCGTGCCGTCGACGCCCCCGCCGGATCGCGGACCATCTCCAGCTGACCCACCGGCGACCGCAGCTGGTCGAACAAGTCGTACAGGTGCATGAACTTGAAGACCACGACTGCGGTTCGTGTCGTGGCGTAGAATATCGACGACGACGCCAGCGACCCGAGGCCCGTCAGTGGTGCCGCCAGGTTGAGCCGGTACGTCTCGGTCAGAGTGAGGAGCGACCAGAGCCGGATCGACGCGTCCTCCGAGGCAGACATGAGCAGCGGTGCGTGCGAGGTCGCCACCTCCATCACCGCTGTCACCGGCTTGGAGTGACCGGTGAGAATCGTAACTCGCCGAAACGTCGTAAACTCGTACACTGCAATGTACGTGTCAATGCCGGCCGTGACCAGGTAGTCGAGCTCGTGCGAGGGTGCCACCACACGGAGCGCTGCAGAGAACGTCCGCCCCTGCCCGTGGTCAAGCACTCGCGGCGCCACCGTGTCAAACACTCCTTCCCGCGCCCGCGCCGCAGCGCCATCAGTACGTGCCACGTTGGCGTACGCCACGGCCACATCCGCCGCAACCTCGCCCGCCCGTGGCACATCCCTGAGGTCGTAGACAAGCAGCCGCGAGTTGGCCAGCGCAAGGACTGACGACGATGGCTCATGTATGGCCAGGGACGTGATCCATGGTGTGCCATGCGGGACGGCAAGCTGCCCGGCGTGGGCGACCGTGTACCGCTGGATGGGCTCGGCGTCGGCGTCAAACTTGACGTCCGGATGCGGGATGATGTTCCACACGTGGATCTCCTCGACGCCAGCCGAGACAAGCTGGTGCCGCGGAGCATGGATGGCCAGTGCGAGCGTCGAGTGCGACGACGACGGCAGCTTCTCCACCAGCCCGAGCTTCCGATCGTAGACCTCAAAGGTGAGATCGGCGCACGCCGCCACAAAGAACTTGAACCTCGACGAGTAGACCAGCGCCCGCACATGCGGCCGTGTCCGCTTCGAGTAGCTGATTTGCCGCAGCTTGCCTGAGACGTGCCACGCCGAGTAGCCGAGCTCATGGGCGACCACCAGCTCGCCGTCGGTCTTGTTGAAGGCCGAGACGACGAGGCTCGCCGGAAAGGTGTGCATAGCGACGAGGTGCATGCCATGGGTAAAGGTGGCTACATCACCATTGGTTCCATCGCCAACGCTCCCGCTCACTCCATCCAGTCCCATCGATGCCCGTGCTCGTGCTGCTGCCTCGGCCGCCGCCGTGTCCTCCCCGCCACCCTTCGCCCCAGCCTCTTCCGGCGGGACAAACAGCATGGCTCGCGGCCGCCGGATACGCACACTCCGTACAGCTGCCATACTCCTGCTGCTCCGCCTGCTGCTCCACCTGCTGCTCCGCCTGCTACTGCGCCTGTTGCTGCGTCTGCTGCTGCGCCTGCTGCTGTTCCCTGCTGCGCCTGCTGCCGCCCGCCGCCCGCCCGCCCTTTCGCCTCAGGCACCGCGTGGCGACGAGTGGAATAGCCTTCCGCCCCCCCCCCCTCCCCCCCCGCACGCCACACACACCTTTCACCAATGCACTCTCATTCAACATGTTACAATGATGCAGCTGCTCCTGCCATCAACGTCTTGGCCTTCTTGGCCGGCGGCGCGTCCTCCTCGTCCTCGATGACGACAACAGCGTCGCCGGCGGTCGATTGTGCGGCCGATGTGGCTTGCGCGGCCGGCTCGCGGGGGCGCTTGCCAGGCGATGTGGTGGCCTGGTTGGCAGCAGGGGCCTTTTTGGCCTTTTTGCGTGGAACAAGGATGTTGGCGACCGGCGCGGGCTTGGGTGCGGCCGACGGCATCGTCTTGAGCACCCCATCTGTGGCAGCGGTGATGCCGAGGGCGGCTCGGACCCGCCGGAGCCGCGCCGGGTACTTGGCCTCAGGCAGGAAAGTGCCGAGCTCGCCGTCGCCAAACTTGAGGAGGGTGACGTATCCGTCCTGCGACGCCACGGCGAGGTAGCGGGCGTTGGGCGACCACGCAAGGTCGGTGATGGCCGCGCAGTGGACGTTGGAGACCAGCGCGACCGGCCGCATCGTCTGCGTCTCGTACACGGTCACCGTGTCGATGGACGCCACCGCAAAGACCATGCGGTACGGAAGCGGTAGCGCCGCTGGCGTCTCGCTCACTGCCTCATTGAGCTCAAAAAGGTGCGGGCAGAAGCGGACAGCCACGGTCGCCATCTCGGGCGAGGGTAGGTGCATGATTGGCGTGTCCAGCTCGTGCCGCGGCAGGACGTACGTGGTGTTGACCTTGTCGGCCCCGTGGCTCTCCTTGTACACCCCGGTCGGCACCACCACAATTGACCCATCCGGCGCCACCGCCAGCCGCCGGAAGAAGGTAGACGTTGCTTCGTCAGCCCACATGCTGTACCGCTTGCATGTTGTCGTCTTGCTCGCGCTACCGGCCTCGTTGCTCGCGCCTCCGGCCTCACTATTGCCGTTCCGCGACGTGTTGTACAGCGCTTTGCGAAGGACCAGCGGCTTCTTGCGGTACGCCGGGAGCGCAAACTTGGGCGCGTCGTCCGACACTGCAAGCTCGGCGTCCGACGTGCCCGCCGCCACAGGCTCGAGTAGCGGCATCGAGCCGGTTCCGGCCCGCGCGCGGTAGATCCGCAGCGTGCGGTCGACAGAGTGCGAGAGGAAAAACTCGCCAAACGGATCAAACGCCACGCCCTGAACATAGTTGTCCGAGTCGCGGATCATCGAGACCGGCTTCTCCTTGCCCATCCGCCACAGCAGCACGTTGTTGTCCACAGAGCCCGAGACTAGGGCGTCGCCGGACGCCAGCCATGATATGTCGTACACGTCTGCCGAGTGCCCGATCAGCATTTTGGTGATTCGCCATGACTCGCCCTCGGCCGAGCCCCACGCCGCCCCAAACGGTGTGTTGGTCGTCGTCGCCGCTCCTGCCGCTCCCGCTCCTTCGCCCGCGCCTTCTTCGCCCTTGCCTCCCGCCGCGCCCGGCGCACCCCCCTCCTTCTCCGGCGCCGCCGACGTGTTCTCCCACAGCAGGATCTTCGAGTCGTCAGCGCCTGTGGCCAGGACCCTGCGGTCCGGCGAGAACCGCACAACGTTAACCGAGCCGAGATGTGTCGTGAGATCGGCCAAGTGCTCGACCGTCACATCGTCGTCCGAGTCTTTGATCCTCCACACCTGCCACCATCAGTCACCACCAGGCATGCGTGGCCGCCACCAGCCATCGCCACCAGCAAGGAGTCACCACCACCATCCGCCAGCACCAACCACCACCAACCACCAGCCGCAATCACCACCAGTCACCAGCCGCAATCACCACCAGTCACCAGTCACCACCAATCACCAGTCACCAACCAGCACCACCAGCACCAACCACCAACCACCAGCACCAACCACCAACCACCATCCAAGCCCCCACCCCATCACATCCACCCTCACACATAATGAGTATACCATCCCCCCTCCCCCCCCCCCCCCCCCCACCTCCGAGGGGGTTGTGGACCAACATCCGTCCGCTTCTGGAAAAAGGTCGTAGAATCGACGCGGTCACCCCCCGCCACCCCCCACCCGCACCGAACACATGCACCGGCACCAGCACCACATACCCGAACAGTAGCATCTGCCCCACCTGTGACAAGGCGCGAGTTGGTATGAAAGTCAAGCGAGAGAACAGGCTTGCGCGAGTGCCACACAACCTGTACCGTCTTGATATGCATCAGCACAGGGGGGCGACGAGTGTGTGCCCTTGTTTGCCCATGACGACTCGGCCTGTGCCCTGCCGGATCCGACCCGACTCGACCCGACCCGCCTCGCCTCGCCCTTCCTCCCTCTCTCCCATCGGCGATCATCATCATCATCATCATCATCATCATCGTCATTCATTGCCCAAGAGCAACAGCTGCCTTGGTCAGATGACCCTTGCGAATGGCCACGTTCTTCCGCGAGCCAGCCAGAAACACATCGCGCCGGGCTGTCTTCATCTGGTAGAACATCTTGGCACGCAGGTCGGCTCGGCTCTTGCACCCGTTGGCACCCTTCTTGCTCTTCTTGCTCTTCTTCTTGCTCTCGGCCACAGCGCGGAGGTCCCGCTCCACCTCGAGCTTCAGATCCTGCATCCGCATCTCGTACTGCGAGAACTCCTCGGCCTGCACCGGCGTCGCCGAGCACCGCTCGAGCATCTGCTGGGTGGAGAGCAGGACCTGATGTGCTTGCTCGGCCTCGCCGCTCGCCACAAGCTCCGCCACCGTCTTGGCCGCCTCGAGGCCGAGCAGCGAGACGTCAGCGCTCTCCAGCGCCTCGGCCCGCACCCGCGTCACTGGCCGCGACGCCGCAAACACCTGCAGGCACTGCGTCCCGTCGAGCTTGGTGTACCGGATCTGAACCTGGAACGGGACCCGCTCGGCAGCGTACACCTCGTCGTCCTTGGCCAGCTTGTACCGGACCGTGATGTTCGACGCAGCCGTCGCGTTGCCCACCGCGTACTGCCGAACGCTCGGGCTCAGCGCCGTCACGCCCTCGCCAACGTCGCCGTCAGCAAACACCAGGCCAGCGTCAAGAAACACTGTTGCCGTCACTTCGGTCCCAAGAATTGGGTTGTCGATCTTCGACCGCATCACTCGCTGCAGCTCCAGCGGCTTGACGATGTCCACCTGCCCGCCAGACAGCTCCGCCGCCGCAAGCAGTGCGTCCATGCCACATTCGGCATCCTCCACCCCAAACAGCGAGACAGAGACACCGGTGGCCTGCGCACGCCGCCCCAGCTGTTGATAGAACGCCGCCGCTCCAGCACGCGCATCGGCGTCGCCGCCGCTGTCCAGCGCCCCAACGCCCGTGTTGGCCAGCCCGTCCGTCATAAACACCACCTCGGACCGTGCCACTTGCGACGCAATGGTGATGGCGAGCAGGAGTGCAGGGCCCAGCGCAGTCGCGCCAGACTCTTCGATGGCTGAAATCCGCGCCTCGAGCGCAGCCTGCGACTCCTCCACGCTCGCAACCGCAGACACGTCGTAGCCCATCCCCACCTCGATCAGTTCCTCGTACGACGAGAGCCGGTCACCGGCAACCGTCAGCGGCTCCACCAGCCCGTCGCCCCACACCACAACGTCGGACGAGAACGTGATGAGGACAACCCGCCGCCCGGGATTCTGCAGACGGACCTCCTCCAGTTGCATCGCCAGTGCACCCTGCACAGACGCCATCCGCGAGATGTACGCCGCGTCGCGCCGCTGACCAGGCAGGTACTGCGACGCGCCCTCAGTGTCGAATACAGAGTCCTTGCCCTTGCCCTTGCTTGCCCCGCCGACTTGCACTCCGCCCACCTGCACAAGCCCGAACCCAGTCGGCACCTCAGCCGTCACGCACATCGAACCGGAGACATCAATGCAAAAGACAAGCAGCGAGTCGCCGGCGCCATCGCTTGTCGCTGCGCTCAGCACGTATTCGGACCGCGGCCCGCGCGGCATCTCCTCCGGACTCACCCACGCCTCGTTGTGCGCCTTGCAAAACTCGCACTCCCATGTGATCTCGTCGTCGCCATCATCGTCGTCGGAGTCAGAGTCGCTAGACCCCGCGCCTACAATCTTCGAGTTGGTCGTAAGCGACGCCGAGCACCGGGTGCAGAGCACCGGCTCGCCGGTGATGACCGTCGTCGCATCCTCGCCGGCGTCGCTCGCTTGGCGTGCAAGGCACTCCATTGACACGCACATGACGTTCGGATCGCGCTTGGAAACCGTGTATGTGTCAAACTCGTCAGCCTGGTCATCACTCTCGTTGGCAGCATTGCTTCCCTCACCGACGGCCGAGCCACTCCCCGACGACTTGGACGACGACGACGACGAGAACATCGAACCGATCTTGGAGAAGAATCCCTTCTTGCCCTTCTTCTTGCTCTTCTTCTTCTTCTCTTCAGCCGAGAGCGGCATGTCGTAGATGACAACCTGCTTGCGGTACGAGTCCTCGATGGTCGGGTCGTACTCGTCGACAAAGTGGTTCTGAATGAGCTGGATGGTGAGCGCCGACTTGCCGACACCGCCGCCACCTACAACGACCAGCTTGAACTCGGCGCCGTACGAGCGAACAGCGCCGACGTAGCCACGGAGGACCGACTGGCGCGCCAACTCGTGGAAGGCCTCCTCTACGTTGATCCGCTCCTTGGCCGACGTCTCAAAGTAGGGAATGCCAAGCCGCTCAGCCGTGGCCACGCCCTCCTCGCACGTCACCTGGCGCTGATCCACCAGATCGCACTTGTTGCCCACCAGCACCGCCGCAATGTTGTCGCTGTCCTTCACCCGACAGCACTGCTCGTACACCATGAGCGCCTCATCGAGAGAGCTCCGCGAGTTGAGGGAAAAGACAAGGAGAAAGCCCTCGCCAGTCCGGTAGTACTGATCGCGCATGGCCGAGTACTCCTCCTGCCCCGCAGAGTCCAGAATGTCCAGCAGCGCCGTCACTCCACCATCTGCCGTTCGCACAGAGCTGAGCGAGCCGACAGTCGCTCCAGCCGATAGGCCACGGCCCGAGCTGGCAGCCTGCGCCGAGGCAGCCGACACGCCACGGGTCTTTGGTTTGGCCACACGGACCTCTTCCATCTCAGGCGGGACAAAGAGCACCATTTCAGAGCCAAACTCCATTCTACCAAATACCTGCTTTGCTACCTATTGTATGTCTGTGGTGCTGGAAAGTAGAAGTCGTGTGTGTTGGACGTGCTTGTCGCTGTTGGGCGTGCCTGTCGCTCTTGTCGCCGCTTTGGGCACTCGCTTTTTGTCGAGACGAGCAAAGTCCCCAATTGGGGTGGGACGGGCGCGACAATTCCTTCTCACCGTCACGCCACCACTGCTTTTGCTCTGATTCCCTGACGCTCACCGTTTCTGGGGACTATGAGTGACCGATCTTCTTCATGCGCGAACTGGCTGGCTCGTGAGAGTGGGCAGAGCGGTGTGGCCGTTGTGACTGGCGGCGATGGCGAGCTGGGCAGACGGCCTGAGCTATTCACCGTGGCGCGTTGCTACGACAGGGTGACGATCTACTCCTATACCTGTTGGCGTACGCTGCTGGGGCCCAATCGCTCAAGGTGAACACAGCCATACGCATGATCAAAGTCGCCACTCGGCTGCACTTGTTGTCGCCTCGCTCGCTCTCGACTCGTTCGGCTGCGCAGACATGCCAGTGCAAGCAGAGGGGAGAGTGGGAGGGGGAGTTGCAGAGGTGTGTTTGTTGGAGAGGACGACCCAGGGCACCCGGATTGGGTAAGACCGCCGAGAAAAGAGAAGGTGGAAAGAGTGTGAGGGGGGTGGGGGTGGGGGTGGGGGGGGGGCGATCGGGCTTGACAACCACCAACGAGCAACCGGCGGCCATGGCTGGCTGCTCACGACGCGCGAACAAACGAGGGCCACATCGACAAGGATCAGAGGAGGAGGAGGAGGATGAGGAGGAGGATGAGGAGGAGAACGAGAAGGAGCAAGGTAGAGAGAGATGCATGCATGTGACAGTCACGAGGCAGCAGCGTTCGGCGTCTCCTTCTGCCGCTCGCTGACCAGGAAGGTCACTCGCTTGAGGATCTCCTCCGAGTTCTTGGACCCGAGGTTGCGCCGGACCTGCGACTGGAAGTTGTGATCCGAGAGGTACTGATCCACGTTGACATAAGCGTGGCTGTCGAGGTTGAACCCGTCCCTGGAGATCGACGTCAGTATGATGTATCCTCCCGACACGTTGCAGCAGTGCCAACGTCCTGTCCACCCGCACCGCACCGTACCGCACCACCAGCGCCAGCCACGCGAGTGCACGGAGCGGACCAGAGTCGACCGCACGCACACACACAACAAGAGGCCGGCCATATGAGAGCACATACCCCAACCAGCATAGACCGCGTTCCCAAACCCAAGCCACAACCACCATAGGTTATGGCATCCATATCGTCATGGATTACCGGTGCCGTATCATCATCATGGCAACGTTGTCCCACGTAGTCACACATGGTATGTTTCGTGAGTACATGGCAGAAAGAGGAGGAAGGCGGGGGGGGGGGGGGAGGGGGGGGACGAACCAGACACATAACATGGCATGGGGTAGTCCCGCTCCTTTGCTAGGTTGTTGTTGGCAAGGGGGAAGGAGAACGGTTGTGCATGGGAAGGTGGAGGGTGTTGGGGTTTGTGGGGGGGGGGGGGGTGGAGGGGGGAGGGGAGGCATTGGTCGGAAAAAGGCGAAAATTCACCCCTTCGGCGCCTGGCCAACGGGTAAAGGACGCACAGAGAGGCGGGCGGGGGGAGGGAGAAGGGGGGGGGGGGGAAGGGGTGGGTGGGGACGGGGGGGGGAGGGGAGGAGGGACAGGGATACATACCGCCCTTGCGCACAGACCACAGCATGGTCAG